TCATTCACTAAGATTGCTTTTTTATTGTAACAGCCGATCTTTAACATGCTAAACTCATCAAATATTTTGTCTTCTTAGTTTCAGAAACATCCAAAATGTTAATATTTCATTCTCTTGACTGTTGTTGTCATTCTTGCCTGCTTTTCCCATTGTTGGAAAGCCTTTTCTGCCTTTTCTCACCGCCCGTCCTCCAATCTTTACATAACCTGCTGGGTTGTCTTTTTTTCTGCCCATTCTTGTTGAAAGAGCTGACATCTCCTGACTGTACATTTCCATTCTGTGTTTTTGAAGTTCCATTTGACACATCCTTTGAATGTATCATGGCCATCTCAAGGATAATGCATAAAAAAGAAACTTTCATAAAAACTACTTTTTCCTCATGCTTTTGCACCTTATAAAAAATGAGTGACCCACTTGAAACAACTGAGGATCATACTGATTGCTACTCTCATCTTCTCAGTACCTCCAATTTGTTTGCCAGTCTTGTCAATTTTATTTGTAAAATGTTTTTCATAATTTATCCATTTATCTCAATTTCTGCTGTCAGCAGCTTAAACTAAGGTACTGCGATTTTGTGCCTTTGACTACTAAAGCATGTTCTCCATAATTTTTAGTTTCTCCTTCCAACTTACCCATGAATTAAGGGTATTTGAAAATTATGATAGGTGTTTATAATTAATATAAATATTGAGTGTAAGCCCTGACATAATGTATCACTGATTTTTAAAACTCAAAAGATAGTCTTTTCCTTACTCAAGTGTGAATAATTCAGAAATTATTGATGAACAATGGAAAGATATTGGGATGTTCAAAGCCCGACTTTGCTATGTTAACAACTGTATTAACACTCACGTTTGGAGTATAAGAATTCCAAATGTAATATTAGTTCAGCAATTTAGGAGCAATATGTGTTAGTCAGAAGAACAGAGTAAAAATCCTAGTTTCAGTCCAAAAAGTTAGGCGCTCTGAAAAATGACCAAAAGAAGAAGTGTGAAAAATCTAATTTCAGTCCAATAATGTAAGAGCCATGAATAAAGATCAAAAGAAAGCAGTGTGTCAAATTAAATTGCTTATGGATAAGGATTAGAAAACAATATCAGCCTATGGTGATACTTTTCTTTTCCTTGTTAATGAAGGCAGTTGATGATCCTCACTCCCTCAGATGAAAGCCACATGATTTAATTGTGAAAGAAATAAGATTTCCATCAGCCCACCATACATTTATTGTGTATTTACTTTGTTTAAACTGTGTGTTTAAGCTTATTTTATTTCTTTTTATCAGAATATGTTTGTAATATGTGATAGTTACAATCATCTCGGGCAATTGATACATATACATATTGCATGATCATATTATGTTTAAACCACAGTAAAATAAATTCATTAGACCAAATAAGAATTCTGAATGAAAAAAAAAAAAAAAGAATTCTGAATGGAAAGGTGCTTGACATCTCCATAGCTAAAATTATAGACTATCCATTATATAGTTACTAAGTTTACTGAGTCTCTAACTTTCTTCAGTAATAGTATTTACCTGTGCCTTAGTTTTACTGGCTTTCTGCTTAGATTTTAGAAAAAATAATATTAAAGATGTTTAATGACTATTAGCTATATATGTTAACAGTTAAACAAAAAAATTAATTTCCCAAGTAAGCTAAATTACCTGGTACTATAAATCTGCTTGCCAAATGACATATGTCACAGTACAAATGATTAATTTAGTCATCTAGTTTCTAAATAATTGTTGCTTTGTGAAAATTGTTGGTTTAGTTTTTTGAGTAGACCTGTCACTAGCTAAATGATTCCATGAGTCAGCCATGATTTCTCACAGATAATTGCATCCAATTCTTCCTGTATTTTCCTTCTTCAATTGGTAGTCACTAGGTGATTTATGATCCCAATAAGCACAGATTTTTTTCATTGATATTGTTCATTTTTCTTTAGTTTCTTCTAAGAGCAAGTGTATTAAATTTTTCTCTCCTTTCTAATTATTGTCTGACATTTTTTCTTACTCAGTATTTTCACTCCTGTCATTGGAATCCTTTTATTAGTGTATCTTGTTGAAGTAGGTCAAGTGAGCTTTTTCAGAGCAGAGAAGAAGCATTAGGGACATGCTGAAGGGACATGGGGTATTGCTTTTAAGTGACTTTCTGTGTTGCAGTTCCCTCATCATTTAAATGAAGGCGATAATGCTAGTTAGAGTCAAACTCTCTGCAGAGCTACCCCATGATACTTTTTTTTTTTTTTTTTTTTTTTTTTTTTTTTTGAGACAAAGTCTTGCTAAATCACTGAGTTGCTCAGGCTGGGCTCAAACCTTCAGGCTTCTTGCTTCAGCCTCCCAGTGCTGGAATTATAGGAAGGCACCACCATGTCTGGCTGAGATGCCTTACAATAATGTGAATTATGATGCTTTACAGTTGGCAATTTGCTGCTGTTCTCTGAACCCTAATTCTTAAGAAAGCACTGAGTGAAGTCCTTATTACTGGAGTGGTTCACCAGTAGCTTCATTTGCACAGTGAGGGAATAGAAAGAAGGTCCCTCATATCACCGTCTGTAGGGGGTTCTTAAACTGAAGCTGGGCCCAATGCTGACAACTGGGGAGATTCCTAGAATGTTGGCCTCTGTCTAGAAAGCCAAAAACAGCCTTGGGACCCAAATTGCTCAGGTAGACATGTAAGTTTGCACAGAGAAGCATTCTAGTAGGGTGAATCCAGTCTTCTGAGGTGCTTGTGGGAATCAGGGGCTCTGGCCAGGCAATAGTGAACTCAATGGGCCAGGATCCTGGAGACCTGATATGTCAGAAATATATATTCCCACTGTTTAATGATGTGGTTAATGTAGTTGCTAGTGCTAAGGGGATATGATAGAAGTTGCTATGCCAGCAGAGGAGAATTGGGGAGGGGGACAGAACACTGTAATGTACCAAGCAATCTACAAATAATTTAATACTTGAAGAACTCCTGAGACTTCATTAGTGTATTCCTACTGCACAGCACCTCTAGTCACTAAAATTCTCATGAAGATTAGAAGAATTGTTATGCCTAAAATATACTGAAAAGTACCTGCGACCCAGTCAGTAATCAGGAAGTACTATTATTATCTTCTTGCTTAGGATACATACAGTTGTCTTTATTTTAGTAAATGGTGACAGTGGGAATAGCAAGATGAAAATCAGGGTAATTTATGGGATCATTATGCTTCTTTATATCTTATTATAGTCAAGAGACCATTTCCCTTCTAGGGTTTTCCTTTTGTTTTAGTATAAATTGCTTTGACATTATTCAGAAATAGAGGTTGCATTTTGGCATTAATAATGGTAATGCTTGTTGGGTAATGCTTGTCTGATTTCACGTGTGGATGTAATATTTTTTCTTTACTCGATAGTGGCCTTAAAAAGTGCCAAGCATGTAGAGGATTAGTAAATATTTCTTGAATGATTGAATATATCCTTAGGGCCTTCTTACAAGAAAATATGGATTATGGCTGAATCCTACAATACATAGTAGTATCAAGTAAAATGTATTATTTCAGAAAAGGGCAAGAAAAGAAAATAGGTTGTACTATAGGTATATTGACCTAAGAGGGACGAGTTGTGCGGTTATTAGGCCTACCTACATCATTCATCTTAAAAATAGTGTTCTTTCTTCTAAGGTGCTCTAAGAGCTAGCTATGACAGGGCTGCTTGCCTCTTGGTCACAGGAGTGATTATGTACTTGAAAGGAAAGGGGTTGTCTTGCTCAGGGTACCTGGGGATTAAACACAGTCTCATTGCCGAATTATCACCCATGTACCCACAGCTCTTGCCTTTGGCTTCTCTTTTCTTTGGTTTTCTTTTTCTTTTCTTTATCTAGTAAAACATTTTCAAATCCATGTCTTGTCTCTCTTCCTGAGAATTTAAGTTTCATTCAGGTAGAACTTTTAGAATAGTGCCTGGCTGCATGGAAAATGCTAATTTGAATCAGATGTTATTGCTCCAGTTTCTTTTCTTCACCTTCTCACTTCTCTCTTAGTATTTCTTTTACCTACTTTATGTACCTTCCAGTCCAAAATCCTCTAGCCATTCAGAATCTGTAGTTTTTTTTTTTTTAAAGAAAAAAGAAAAAGAAAACAAGACAAAACAGAAACACACATTTGTCAGATGAAGATATACAAAATGGCAAATAAATACATGAAGAAATGTTCACCATCACTGGTCATTTGAGAAATGCAAATTAAAACAGCATTGAGATTGCATCTCACTCTGGAAAGAATGGCGGCCATTAAGAAATTAACTGATAACAAATGTTGATGAGGCTGTGGGGAAAAAAGGAATGCTTCTCCACTGTTGGTAGGAGTGTAGACTGGTGCAGTCAATGTCAAAATCAATATGGAGATTCCTCAACAAGCTAGGATTAGAAGTTGCATTCAACCCAGCTATTCCTTTCCTGGATATTTCCCCAAAAATTTTGAAAAGATCATGTCACAGTGATATATGTGCACCCATGTTTATAGCAGCATTTTGTAATAGCTAAATCTTATAAAATGCCCATCAACTACAGAGTGGATAAAAAAGATGTCGTATTTTTATACTCAGCTATAAAAAGGATGATCTTGAGGCCTTTATAGGTAAATGGAGGCAACTTGAGACTATCCTCATAAGTGAAATAAATAGGACTCACATTTGTAAATATCACACTGTCTGTCTAGTGCTCAGAATTTTACTGATAAGACAGTAGAGGAAGAAAGCCGGTATGGCCACTTGCCCTTAGGCAGGCAGTGGGAGGGGCATGATGGATAGAATCTATAATATGGGAGTTTTCTCAGGATAGAGAATTAACTTCATTTCTTTCTTGAATGAATTCATACTCATTGTTGAATAAGTCATAAATATACATTTCTTGCTTTTGTGCTTATTTGGGCATAGATTATGGTTTGTATAAATCTATAATCATGAAACATTAAAAAAGGAATATTGAGTTTTACAGATTAAAACACTTTCCTTTAACTTTGTTTTCCCACAGAATTTTGTGCGTCATCACTGGGTGCACAGGCGCCGGCAGGAGGGAAAGTGTAAGCAGTGTGGTAAGGTAAGGGCCCAGCCACCCGCAGCCCAGCAGGAGGCTACTAAGGCTTCACAGGCACCAAGGTAGAAGACTACTGTCCCCAAGCCCAGTGTTCTGTACATCAGATCTTTTCTGAAAGGCATTATTTCTTCAAATCCCTTTTCTTAAGAAGTATTTTGATGGTTCTCAAACTCTTTGCAAGGGGCAATTGCCTTAGTAAAAGGAATTACCATTATTTTGATTGACAAGTCTTGCAGCAAATTTTATTAATTGTTGATTTTTGGTACATATGTTTTCCTACGTTGTGCACTACTGTGTTGTGAGGAACACTGGTCCATGAGCACTTTTGAACAGTCAGTGCTATGTGTTGAGCAGTGCTGCTTCTGCTGATGTGTAACTGTCAGCAGGCTCTGATAGCATAATACCGAGCAGACAGCATGGTTAGAACCTGGAAATATGTTTTTCTGTCGAAATCTTTCCAGTTTCTGGGCAAGGGTGCCTTCTTCATGGGTGACTCTTGTGTGTCTACTTCCTTTCTTCTTTTTATTGAGGACCCCTCAGGGCTCAGTGGGAAAAGTGAGGGGGGATGGGTTGGGTTATATGACTGTAAGTTTTAAAATTTCTGCATTTTTTATGTTATTAACTTGAATTATAGCTGTCCCCAATGTAAAGATCAAGAATTTTTAAGAATTGTAAAGTTTTCTGGGAAGATTAGATTAGTGATCAATTACACTGTTAATGGTTTTTTAAGATAATAAGCTAATGGGCATCAGTAAAGAAAGGTTATGATTAGACAAAAGACAAGATAATTTGGGAGAATATATTTCTCATCAAACAGTGATTTATTTATTTGTTTAATCATATGAGTCCTTTGGCTTAAGCATTGAGGTGAATTGACTAACATGGAGCTTTTAATAATGGAGGAATCCACAGAAATTTTGGCAGCCTGGGGTTATGGAAGTGAGAGAGAATTGGAAACATTTAATTGATTTTGCTGTTTGCCTTTTTCCTGGGGAGAAAATATCACACTGTATGCTTGGTTGCCACACCTAGATAGCACAACTCACAATAGCTAAATCTTGGAAATAGCCTGTATGTCTATCAACAGATAAATGGATAAAGAAAGTATGATGTTCATACTTAGTGGAATCCTACTCAGCCATAAAGAAAAATTTGAAAAGTAAATTTGACTCATTTATAGGAAAATGGATACATCTGGAGACCATAGTGCTAAGTAAAATAAATAACACACAGAATCTTACATATCACGTGGGTTCTCTCATATGAGAAACGCAAAGTATAAATAATTTTAAAGAGCAGAATAAAAAGTAGATGGTAGAAATAGGGGGGCTAGACTTTTTGTAGATATGAAGCAGATGTCTAGGGATGAAGAGGGAAGGAACGGAGAGAAGAGGAAGGGCAAAGAAAAAGCCTAAGATGTGAATGTGTATTAACTCCCCATGATGAATATATTCATCATGCTTTGCAAGCCTTTACTAATTTAAAAATAAGTTTTCCCGCAGAAGGCTACAGGACATAGTCCTTTACTGTAGGTATTAGCTCCTTCAGTTCAACCCAGTGGCTCTTATTTGGTTCCATTTTAGATGGCCAAAGTAGGTTGAAGTAATGGGAGGAAGAAGAGGGGTGGGAAGATTTTTATTAGTCATTTTCCTGGGAAGGACAGTGTTCTACTGTCACATGACCTTCCTAATAGTGCATCCAATTCTTCTGCAGTGCTGCTTTCAAGTTTATGGGTTCTCTTATACTTTTTGACATATGTATCAAAGAGCTTAGGACCTAGAACCATCTCAGCAATTCAAGCCATAATGGGTTTGGAGGAATTTTTACTTTTAAAAATCAGTAAATGTAATACATTTTGTGACAGGTATTCTGTGGTGGTGTTTGCACTCCCTTATGCTGGCATCGTGCCCTGAGTGGGAAACCTAGGGCTCCTTATGCTTCATGTTGCTGTGGCCCTGTCTCCTTTTCTCCTAGTGCACTCAACAGCCATCTTGGGTTTCTCACAACTTTCTACCCCTGACAGGCATCAATAGAGATGTCCCAGCTATTTACATACAGTCCCCCCAGTGTAGTACTGTTGTGTCCATCTCTCCTGTTTATACTTCAGCTGCTCATGAATTCTCAAACTAAAGCAGTTGAGGGACAGGAGGTTTTACATCCTTGTGTCTTTGTAGGACTCCTTTGCATACCAGGTTCTACCTCAAACTGGATGAAAACTGAAGGATCCAGTTCTGTTTAACTATTAGGTGTTTGAAAATTCATTTCAAACTTTGGTGCTGTGTGTAATTTCCATCAGTAGAGTTGTACATTTGTGTACTCTCAGGCTTTTAAATCCATTGCAACTTCTCTAATACACATAGCTATTTCATGATTAATTCATTGCGATGGTGTAAAAAACAGCCGTTTCTCTTTGCAAAACCTTTTTTTTTTTTTTTTTTTTTTTTCTTTACTGATGATTTGTAGATTTGGGGACTTTTTAAGAAATGTTTATAGGTAGAGTGTGGTTTCAATTTCTGCTTTTTAATTTGACAATAAATGATTATTGCCAGCGATTTTCTCTTGCATCTTACATGTGTTTATCCAGATGCATGTGGTGTCCAGTGATGAGAGATGTTTAATTTCTCAGTTCATTTAACATTACCTGACCGCCTCAGGCTTACCAAATTTATGGCTATTAACGTGGTTTTGCATTGTTGTCATTTACAGGCCTATATTGTAGAGTCAGAGTCAAGGCAGAAAAGAGATAAACAATTCAGACTTGAGTTATGTAATTTGATGAAACTTTAATAAAGTGAGAATTTAAAATGCGTGACTGGAGACTAGAATTGGCAAGGGTCATGGTCAGGCCCAGTCTGAGGTGCCAAGATATGCATGGATCCTGTCAAGGAGCTGTGATCTTTAATCACAAGACTTTGCACTGAGGAGCTCTTTCATTTAGCAGATAAGTGGCTGACTTTGCCTTATACCTCCAGTGGCCAAAGTCAGTAGAAACCAGAGCTCCAGGGACTCTACTGAGTGCAGAGCAAGGTGAAGGGTAGATGAGAGAGGCACATGAGATCCACTGGTCACATACCGTGTAATGCAAATTTGCATTTATTCAGTGGCTAAAGGGAGAGTGCATACTTATTCTTCAAAGCTGTCTATAAGTTTTCCTTACTAAATCTACACATTGTATTCTTTCAGTCAAAATTGACTCAATATTGCAATGTCTATGATAATTTAAATATAGCTCAGTGGCACAGTACCTGCTTGGAAAGTGTGAGGTCCTGAGTTTGATTCTTGGTACCCCACCCCCTGCAAAAAGAAATCAGTGTACAAAGAAAAAATATGGTAATGAGGTTTTTTTTTTTTTATTTTAAAGAGAATAAAACAAAACAAAGCACTTTGATCAGAAAAAAACAATTTAGGCAACACAGGACTTCAAGACAACAGGAAATCAACCGTGGCTACCATAATGTCCCTTGTTTTCTTCAAAATAGTTGTCCATATCTTCACATGCAATGATTTCAAACAAAACAATATAGTATAAAACTAATTAAAACAGAAGAATGAAAGCAATGTAGGCCTTCAAAGCTAGGCAATAGGGAAATCTACAAGGGCTACCATAATATTGCTTGTTTTCTTCAAAATAGCTGTCCATGCCTTCACACATATTGAAATCAAATAATAGAAAACAGATTTAAACCAATAAAAATGAAGAATAAAATCATTATTGGACTTCAAAACAATGTGGTAGGAAATCAGCAATGGCTACTGTAATGTCTCATTTTCTTCAAAATAGCTGTTCATACCATCACACATAAGAAAACCAATTCTTGGAGTGGGGATTTAGCTCAGTGGCATAAGTACCTGTCTGGCAAGTGCAAGGTCCTGAGTTCAATTCCTGGTACCAAAAGAAAAAGAAAGAAAGAAAGAAAGAAAGCAAACCAATTCTTGTAAACTTTTTAGGACTTTTAGGCATGTATGTACTTATACGTGTATATCAATTCTTTCTGTTTTAGAGGGAGAAACAAAATAGAACAAAACAAAAGACAAGAAAAATAAGAAACAAAAGAGACAAATAAATAATAATAATAAAGAGCTCAAGACAATAAACACATAGGTTTTCAAAACAAGGTTGTAGGAACATAACAAAGGTTGTTATTATGCATAGTTATCTTCAAAAGAGTTACTCAAATTACCAGATAATGACATGCAAAATCGATTAATCCTATGAATGTTAACTGTTTTGTTTCAAGAGCTAATTTAATTACTAGTACAATCATCTCAGCTATTTTAAGTGTATACATACAAATTTATATCTTTTTTCTTTTCCCTTCCATCTTTTTCCTTTTCCCTGAGTTATTTTTTCACCTTTGAACAGTTTCTTACCCTTTCACAATGTTTATTGAAGATTTTTTGTCTTATTTACTCTTTCAATTTCTTACACTAGGGAGACAATTTGATATTTACACATGTGAATTTGATTTATTTCACTTATGAGTATGGTCTCAAGTTCCATCTATTTACCTATAAAAGCCTTAATGTGATCCCTCTTTATAGCTGAGTAGTACTGCATTGTATAAAAATATCACATCTTTTTTTTCCATTCCTTAGTTGATGGGCATTTGGGTTGTTTCCAAGATTTAGCTATTACAAATTGTGATTCTATTAATATGGGTGCGCACACATCACTGTGGTGTGATGTTTTCAGTTCTTCTGGGAATATGCCCAGAAGGGGAATAGCTGAGTCAAATAGGACTTCCAATTCCAGGTTTTTGAGGAACCTCCACACTGACTGCCACAGTGGATGCACTAGTCTACATTCCCACCAATAGTGCAGAAGTGTTCCTTTTTCCTCACAGCCTCTCCAGCATTTGTTGGTGGTGGTTTTCTTGATCCTTGCCATTCTTTCTGGAGTGGGATGTAATATCAGTGTGGCTTTAATTTGTATGTCTCTAAGACCAATGATGCTGAACTTTTTTTTCATGTATTTATTTGCCATTTGTATTTTTTCATCTAAG